CCGTGTACACATTTGTAAAATGAAATGAAAATATGTCAAAGTTCATAACATGACATGACATATATTATAAGTCATCATTGCATACTTTATATCCCAACTTCAGTGACTTAAAATGACCTACAATTAACTGGCAGGGTTGCAGAGGTGTGTCTGTTATAACATGCAATCCTGCTGATCTCAGTACCATATATCCGAAGTTCCTTTGATATGTTGCCTGAACAGTGAAAGCCTCAAGGGACACACGTGTTGTCTGCAACACTCTCTGCCCCTTGACCCTCCATGTCTCTTTTGAAAGCTCATGGCTGTGGTGAAAGGCAGCGTCACTTTGTGGGACTACTGAGTGACAGGAGCATGCTCGAGTTAATATTTAATGGTTGTTCCTGCCAGAGAATTAATCAGTATCAGTCTGAGACATTCGGAGAAAATTGATAGGCCTAAATTAAACACGGCTCTTTTGTGGTTAAAAAAACAGTTTTTATTTAAATTGCTAACAATATCTTCCTTCATCAAAGAGCACTTTTGTTTTGCTAACTACATTTACATATTACATTTTTTTTTTACATGATGTGTGTACTTGTGTTGACATTAAAGGAGCCTGTAACTTGCAGACTTTTTTTTCTGAGAGAAAAGACAGTTGTAATAAACAAATAGTCCACATTGAAAGACCTTGAAGGCCAAATACAGATAAAAAAAATAAGCAACAAAACTTGGATTTACAGTGGGGTCAAAACAGCAGCCACTTTGTCTAACAGGTTATAAAAGTAAACAAACATTTGCAAATGCATTTTGGGAAATATCCTCTTTCTTGTCGAAAGTTAGATGAAAAGATTGATGCCACTTTCATAACTGTGCGTTAGCATGGAGCCTGAGCCAGAAGCCATTTAGCTTAGCTTAGCAGAAGACTGGAAACAGGGGGGAAGAGCTAGCTTGCCTCTTAGCATAAGTGACAAAATCCAGCTAACAGCACTTCTACAGGTCACTAATGAACAAGTTATATCTTCTTTTTTCAATCTGTAAGAGTAAAAAGGAAAATTTGTGGGAAACTAGTTGAGACACATTAGCTCTATGCCAAGCAATATTCAAGCACAAAAAAAGAAATTTTTTATAATAAATAATATTTTTATGCTTTACTCATTCAAGACACAGGATGTTAACTAACAAGCTTCACAGGTACTGGTAGGTGGATTTTCTTACTATCGCACAGCACTAGGCTAGCTTTTTCTCCTGTTTATTGAATACAGAGCTAAGCTAACCGTCTGCTGGCTGGTTAGTTTAGCTAGGTCAAGGTAGCTTTATATTTGGTATACAGACATTAAAGTGACATCTTCTCATTTAACTTTTAGCAAGAAAGTGAATAAATATATTTCCATAACTCTTGAACTACAATATTCCTTTAAAGAACTAATGTCCAGGCCTACACAATAACTTTAGGGACATTGTAAAAAAAATCTGTCCTAGTGTCTTAAGCAGGCGGGAAAAAAAATCCTAGTAAAATTAATCAATCTAACTAATAGTTGACTTTCAACTACAAGTTGGACCTCAATCACAAGTTCTTGTCTTCTCTCTTTCCCTTAAAAATCCTGCAGAGAGCCCCAGGCACCAGAGTGGTTGGGATTAAAAGTGCAACTGCACTCTTTCCAAAAGACAGGAAGTAGAAAGTCATATGGTTTTCAGAGGAAAATGTCCATCCATCCAACAGCTGAAGCAGGAACAAAGAGATAATTATACATCCCATCCTGAAAGTGACACTTGTGTTCTTCTTCTTGGTCTCGGTGTAGAGCGGAGAGTGCAGGCCCAGGCCAAAAAGGGTGCCCATGTTACGCAGGAGGCTGGCAAAGGGTGTGGTGTCCAGATGGACCCACTCGGGCTTGATGCACCACCTCTGGGCTTTCTCCAGGGTCCACAGCAGGTCCACGCCCAGAGCTTTGAGCAGGAGGTAGAAGCCAACGGCGAAGGAGGTCAAGAAGAGGGTGGTGAAGAAGTACGTCTTCATGCTGGCGCTGTAGATCCATTTCTCCCTGGAAACAACCTTAGCTACTAGTAGACCTGACAAAAACAGACAAGGGTCCATCAAACTCTGTTTATGAACCCTGTTGGGCCAGTAGGGCTACCATGTATGCTTTTAGGTGAGTGATTATATTTTGTTTGTAAAATCATCTGAAAAGTAACTACAGCTCTTTAATAAATTTGCAATATTTCCCTCTCAAAATCTACTTTTCATTGTTATGAAAATGATATGGATAACAGTCTTGACTTGTTTAACCTGTAATGACTCCTGCGATAACCTGGTGCGGGAAGTGGGCTGCCATGTAGATCCTAGACATGCAGACCACAAGCTCTACCAGGCCCAGCAGTGTCCACAGGATTATCTGCAAGAACCTGTCAGAGAGTGAACACTGAACGTGAGTGCACAGGGTGGCAGAGGATCACAGAACAGTGAAATTAAGGTTTTTATTTGACTCCCAAGAGCCGCTTTTGAAACAAATTACTGATTGTATCACCACAGACTCACTTGTATAGTAAAGAGGGACATCGCTTCTCTGTTGCAATAGAGAGTAGTGCCGTGACCATCACATACCAGACGCCAGCTGCACCCATAGCATGACCTGAAGGACTTCCTGCAAGAACAGACATGGGCTTCAGAGACCCATTTTCAAAGCATCATCGTGTGTTGTACAGATTTATTTTAGCTGTAATATCCCATTTTAGAATGAAAGTTGTTGAACCATATTAAATAAAATTTTGAGGTCCGTAATAAATTACCTAAATATTAATCCTGCACAGCTCTCTGAGACAGTGCTTTGTCGTGTTTGGCAAAAGCATTAATATAACACTGTAAAAACACTCTATTCTATTCCTGTGATTGTTGTACTACTATTATATATACATACAGCTGGTTGAGGTGGACCAAATTTTTTCACTATTTTATGTCAGACGTTAGCATTTCCCCTAACCCTAAGCCATTATGGATGAATGTGCTGATTATTTTCTTGATTAATCAACTGATTATTTTGTTTGTAAAACTCCAGAAAACAGTAAGAAATGCCAAAAGACACCAAAACCTTCAAATGGGAAAAAAGAAGAAAAGAAACTAAAATTTTTAAAATAAATAAAAGGAAAAGACAGGAAAAAAACTGTTGACTTGAACAATTATCAAAGTCAATTAATCAACTAATCGTTTCAGCTTTAATTGTATATACTGTTGGGTAGTTTAATCTATAACAAAGCATCATATTTTATATATGTTTTATATGTAAACTCTTAATTTGTAAAGTAACTAGTAATTATAGCAGTTCAAATAAATGTAGTGGAGTAAAAACTACAGTATTTCCCTTTGAATTGTTGTGACATAGATGATAAAGAGGCAGAAACTACAAGTACCTTAAGTACTTGAGTAAATGTACTTAGTTACATTCCACCATTGATAAAAAAAAAGGAGATGTTATTCAATTCATACTTCAGTTTCTCTTTGCCAATTAATTATCATTAGAGATTATATTCATTCATTCTCAGGAGGCTGTGTGCGTTGGCCAACCACCTTACATATTATCTGGAAATGAATGAAACAGGTTAATAGTTCACAGCACCAGATAACTCTAATCATTCGAACAAACCATAAGTTCCTCAAGAAATGTGATCCACTGCAGGTCTGTTTTGAACTGTACCTGGTCCAGTCTCACATGTGATGGGGAACTGCTTCACAGAAGGGACCGGATGTGCTCCATAAAACCGAGTGTCATGAACCCACCAGTAGGGTCTCTCCCCAAAGAGAACCCTGCCAAGGAGAAATCAAGCGACTCAAACTACCACTCTCTGTCTCTCTTAATGCTTTTTTTTTCTTTTCTTTTTTACTTCAGTGTCACATTTGAAGAGAATACCATTTCAGGACCAGGTTGAGCCAGTCTCCGATCACAGCCACCCAGATGAGCCGGAGCCCCGTGTCCCTCCGCAGGTGGAACCAGATCGGGAACAACCAGAAGAACGTGGTGTGCAGATCAGCCACCGTGGATGCCAGGCTGAACAAACCCTCGTACCTGCTGTATCGGGTCTGCAGGTGGACCGCCAGCTCAACCCCCCAGCTGTGGAGAAGATCCATGATAATGCAGCCCAGACCTCTGCCTGAGGATGATGCGCTGAGCCTGGGGTGTTCTGCCTTTTTTCTCGGTGAGGTTGCTGCCAAGTTCTTTCAGGCAGTCCCCCCTCTGCTCTGCCACACTGTGATCCCCATTGGACTTTACTCAAGGCTAGCAAAATTTGTTTGCCTTTGGGACAGTACAGACAGGTTCCTTAACCTTTACACCCCTGAGGCTAAAATCCATCATTACAGAAATCAGCAGCCACCCCTCTGACGGATCACAGATTTCTAGGAAAACCTTTTTTTTCTCTTATCAATGAAAATGACGTATTTGTCAGAACAGAGCAGAAACTTGTGTTTGACCTACAACCTGCCAATCTGCTTTTTTTTGGTTTTATCTCCAGTTTTATCTCCTCAGCTTCTGCTCAGTCCAAACCCAATCATTTAATCATTGATCTCCTTATGTAACCTACAAATGGGTTACTCCATCGTTCTGAGCACTGAGATGTTTTCACCAAATCATCAAAAAACACAATTACATAACTGAGAAATTATTACTTAGCGGCTGCATGAATGGGGAAGGAATTACATGAAAAAAAAAAAATCCTTGCAGTAAGTTTTGGGTTAAACCTGAGCTCCTAAGAAATAAAGAGGACACAGCTCTCCGTTTGGTTTGCATATACTTGGTTTAAATTAGGTCACAATTGTGAAACATAACCAACTGACTTCCCCTCCGAACAGTAGTTCTGTGAGAAACACACCAATTGACGTTTTGTTTTCCTGCTATCTCTCCCACTTGTTTGTGTGACAAACCTCTCAAACTCTCCTGACTCCCAGTGTTTTATTACACATGTGCAAGGTCCAAAGATCAGCGTGAGCATGCGTTTGGATAGTGGGTCTCTCTGGTATAAAACCAACCAACTGTGTCACTGATAGCAACAGTCCCTTCACTGTCTTTTTTTTTTGTGGCTAACTCAGATCAGAGATTTCTCCCCTGCTCGAGGCTGAAGATGCTCGACGCTGTCATGGACGCCATGCAGGGCTTTGGGGTGAGCACCACCCACTACCTGCAGACCAACTATCAGGATGCCCGGGGCTTGTTTCTCTGGGTGTCCTGGGCGGCGGACCTCAGGAACACTTTCTTCATCTTCTTCCCACTTTGGTTTCACCTGCGGGCCTCGGTGGGCATTAAGCTCATCTGGGTGGCAGTGATCGGAGACTGGCTCAACTTGGTTTTTAAATGGTTAGTCAAGTAAAATCTTTGAATTTGAGTTTGGTGAGCAAAATCATATGAAATCAAATGTTCTTAATTTTTTTTTTTTTTAGATTATAACCGAGTGCATGTTTCTGTTGTGTTCTTCAGGATCCTGTTTGGGGAGAGGCCTTACTGGTGGGTCCATGAGACGGCTCATTATGCAAATACTGTCCGTCCCCACATCGAGCAGTACCCCATGACCTGTGAGACCGGACCAGGTGAGATATGTGGGCAAAAATGAGCTGCTGTGTCCCTATTAACCCCCCAGTTCATGTATTGTTTCAGTAATATGTCATAGCTTCAGGTCGCTGTGTGCTGTTG